CTATTTTTGGAAACACTTCCTCAGAGCTCTAACATGGATTTATCGTACATAAACTAATTCTTCTCTTTGTTTTCTTTTGCCATTTCTTCTTGCAGTCTCCGTCGCTTTTGAAGCGCGCCGGCACTGAAAAGTTGCGAGAGGTGTTCCAAAAGTACGCCTCAGTCCAAAAGAATGGCGAGCACTACATGACCAGCGAGGATTTCGTGCGCAAGTTCCTAGGACTCTTTCCGGAAACTGCATTTAATGACGTAAGTTACATACTGGGTGTTTGCTGCAGTCGCCGGTCATTGCAAGGTTATTTAGCATAGTCCCCCCGATAAGGCGGCTGGCCATATCTTATCGCTAGATAACTTCCCCCTGAGCGGCAGCACATAGAAACTTATAAACATAAATCAGTGTCCAACTCCCCAGACTGATTCACGGGTTGACCTTGACCCACCCGCAAACAAATAACAAACCAAATAACCCGGCAATCACTTGGCTGCCTCGTGTCTAAAGGCCAACGTCACAGATTCTATTTTAATGGGTCCGCTTATCAGCTTTATGGTCTGAGAACCCGACTGAACCTGATCGTAGGTGCCCGCAAATTGGAGCTGATTCAATCAGGTGCCGAAGTCTTGGGGGCAGTTTCTTTTACGGCCCCGTTTATCTGCCCATTAAGGGTGACTACCGGACAATGTCCAATTAAAAGAGATTAGCCCGCCACTTCGGAAATGATTTATAATTGAAACTAACATTGCTCCTGTTCCATTTTCTGCATAGGAATCGGTGCGCCTGCTGGCCAACATTGCCGACACAAGCAAGGATGGACTCATCTCGTTCTCGGAGTTCCAGGCCTTCGAGGGTCTGCTCTGCACCCCCGATGCGCTGTACAGGACCGCTTTCCAGCTGTTCGACCGCAAGGGCAACGGCACTGTTTCCTACGGTAAGAAAAACTAAGCAAAATTGATATAAAGAACACATCACAAACATCCTCTCTATGTTCCAGCCGACTTTGCTGATGTCGTACAAAAAACTGAACTGCACTCAAAGATACCTTTTAGCTTAGACGGCCCCTTTATCAAGCGCTACTTTGGTGACGTAAGTATTATGCAATTCAGTACATTCGAATGCATGCCAAAGGCTTTGAATTTTTCTCCGACTTGCAGAAGAAGCAACGCCTTATCAACTATGCCGAGTTCACCCAGCTGCTGCACGACTTCCACGAGGAGCACGCGATGGAGGCCTTCCGCAGCAAGGATCCAGCCGGCACTGGGTTCATCTCCCCCTTGGACTTCCAGGACATAATAGTCAATGTTAAGCGGCATTTACTGACCCCCGGTGTCAAGGACAACCTCGTTTCGGTAGCTATCTACAGTTTCCGTTCCCGGAATATCCTTTAAGAGATTGCTTTAAACGTCCTTAGGTCACTGAGGGTCACAAGGTGAGCTTCCCGTATTTCATCGCATTTACCTCGCTGCTGAATAACATGGAACTGATCAAACAAGTCTACCTGCACGCCACCGAGGGAAGTCGCACGGACATGATCACCAAGGATCAGATCCTCTACGCCGCCCAGACCATGAGCCAGATCACCCCGCTGGAAATCGATATCCTGTACACTCTGGCAGGCGCCGTCCATCAAGCTGGGTGAGTTTAAGTGTATAGATGCCTTCGGGTTCAGTGTTGCCAACTTTGGAACTAAATTAGAACATATATATTTACCTATTTCATTTAAAATAGTTTTTATCAATCCATTTTTAATTTCGCTTGATAATAATACAGAATATGTGACGACAAATTGTAGTTGAAATATTAAAAACTATTTACCCATTACTTGTGCCTTAAAGTTTATAACGGTAGGGACAGATAACTTGATTCATATATATTTTTTTAGTTGCTAAGCTCTCGCAAAGTATTGGCAAATAAAAACTGCATAAGCCTTTAATGATAATTTTACCAGATTTTATTGTAAATGTTCCCCTTTTAAAATTTGGTGATTTTAATGTATTCTGGTATTTGTGAGAGCGCTAAATTTCACAGCTGTTAAAAAGTTTTTATGAATTTTTTTTTTGGAAATTAAACCTAGTTCATGGGAGTACATGCCTTCTATTAACATTAAAAGATAAAGCTGACCACTAGCTAGGTTGGCAATTCTTCTGCAGTCTGTCCGAAAGTATCATAACATCAATAACACCCTTGAGAGTGCATGAGTGTCTCAGGGGAATACCTAAAATCAAGTGTCTTATGTCTTGTGCTAATTGTTGCTTGTTTGTATCTTTTCTCTCTGTGTTTCTATTTGTTTCTCCTCTTTTCTGCGCTGCACTCGCAATTCTCAATTTGCAAAGCTGGTGGAAGCGCAGGAGAAAGATAACTCCGAGTAGGCAAGTGATCTCGTCCTTCCTTGGCCTGAGTTTTGCGTTTTTGTTTGTTTGTGACTCCACTCCAAGAACTCCCGAACCTAAATCTAACCCAGTTGGTCTCTGTTAGCTACCCCTTTCGAATACACTCAATAGATATATCCACTGACTCTGTTTTATTTCTGCCTCATTCAGCCGCATCGACTATAGCGACCTGAGCAACATTGCCCCCGAGCACTACACCAAGCACATGACTCATCGCCTGGCGGAGATCAAGGCGGTGGAGAGTCCTGCCGACCGATCTGCCTTCATTCAGGTGCTGGAGAGCTCCTACCGCTTCACCCTCGGATCCTTTGCCGGCGGTAAGATTACCCCTGAATCCCTTAGTGCTTACCCTCTACTAATTAAATATTATGTATTTCATCCATAGCTGTGGGAGCCACTGTGGTCTACCCCATCGATCTGGTCAAGACCCGAATGCAGAACCAGCGGGCGGGTTCCTACATCGGTGAAGTTGCCTACCGAAACTCCTGGGATTGCTTCAAGAAGGTAACCCCGCGCCTTCCATTATTTGTTCTCCTGCAACTGATGTTCGTTTCCCTTAGGTTGTTCGTCACGAGGGCTTCATGGGCCTCTACAGAGGACTGCTGCCCCAGTTGATGGGAGTGGCGCCCGAGAAGGCCATCAAGCTGACGGTCAACGACTTGGTGAGGGACAAGCTCACCGACAAGAAGGGCAACATTCCCACCTGGGCGGAGGTTCTGGCCGGCGGCTGTGCAGGCGCCTCCCAAGTGGTGTTCACCAACCCGCTGGAGATCGTCAAGATCCGTCTCCAGGTGGCGGGAGAAATCGCCACCGGCAGCAAGATTCGCGCCTGGTCGGTGGTGCGGGAACTGGGCCTTTTCGGGCTCTACAAGGGCGCCAGGGCGTGTCTGCTGCGCGACGTGCCCTTCTCGGCCATCTACTTCCCCACTTACGCCCACACCAAGGCCATGATGGCCGACAAGGACGGCTACAACCACCCCCTCACCCTGCTGGCCGCCGGAGCCATCGCCGGTGTTCCTGCCGCCTCGCTCGTCACGCCCGCCGACGTCATCAAGACCCGCCTGCAGGTGGTGGCCAGGTCCGGACAGACCACCTACACCGGGGTGTGGGACGCCACCAAGAAGATCATGGCCGAGGAGGGACCGCGGGCCTTCTGGAAGGGAACGGCAGGTAAGCCGGATTGTAAGGAACCTGGGAACTCTTAATAACTCCCTTCTCCTCGTTCCACAGCTCGTGTCTTCCGCTCCTCGCCGCAGTTCGGCGTGACCCTGGTGACCTACGAGCTGCTGCAGCGCCTCTTCTACGTGGACTTCGGCGGCACCCAGCCCAAGGGGTCCGAGGCGCACAAGATCACCACTCCGCTGGAGCAGGCCGCGGCCACGGTGAGCACCGAGAACCTGGACCACATCGGCGGCTACAAGGCCGCGGTGCCTCTGCTCGCCGGAGTGGAGTCCAAGTTCGGCTTGTACCTGCCGCGCTTCGGACGCGGAGTGGCTGCTGCCACGCCATCGACTGCCACGGGGTCCTGATTGTACTGGCGCCACCGCCTGCCGAGCGCCACGTAGTCGCGAGATGCGAAGTGCGGGCAGGATTGGGGGCTCCGAACCAGAGAGGATATATTTTTTGCTAGGACGCGTTTACACAAATTCACACACAGAAGCACTGAGGATATTTCTACGAGGATCAGGGAGGAGCAGCGCCGCATCTATAGTACTATTGTATCTGAACATCAGGGATCGCACCGGACCCTGGGCACCCGGCTCTGAGCAACTGTTTTTACCACACCCGAAACCCAAAACCAAAAGAAACAACAAACGTAAGGCCCACTTCAAAGTGTAGAATCGATTTTGGCCACGGTGCATATATTTAGGAAAGTGTAGTACTGTTTTTGTAAACTTTGTTAACTAGTTTAAAGTCTAGAGCAACAACCAATCACTGAACGTCAACTTTTGCACTCAATGTAACTATTAAAGCGAAACCTTTTAATCTTAGTACGAATTTGTTCAAAACAATTATCAAGCAAAGGAAATGCAATGAATGACCTCTTAGCTAATAAAGAATAAATAAATAAAACTCAATGTTAAAAACAATCCAATCTGGGGAGAGTCTTTAAATCTCAAACAGTTACCGCCTTGAATGCCTTGATACCTTTGGTGAAATGATTTAGAAAACGAAGCCAAGCCCCTTTTACCTACATACATTCGCTTAAACTGACCCACAGATGACGGATCCGCCTCCTGGGAGCTGCTTGCCAACTCAATCGAGCGTCAATTCATGGCCAATTGCCAGTGAATAGTGAACAAGGTCCAAACGCATCTGATTAGAATTGTGTGATTGCGGGCATTTGCAAATCGATGTTGACAAGTTAATTTTAGGCACTGCCCACCTGCGTTTCTGGGTTGCCATTCTCGGTTTCGAAGTCAACAACTGTCCGCCGACCATGACCGCCAAAGAAGATCCGTTAGCTATTCGCGGAGAGGGTCTCCACATGTGCCCCAATGACCGGGTGCACTGGACGAGATCGGTCGCCGATCAGTGACCATCGACGGGCTATAAAACCTCGATCGATGGAGGCGCTTTTGATGCAGTTTCATTTTGGATTTCAAAGGGAGAACAATGCGGGTTCAGCGCAGTTTGGTTTTATTCCTACTTGGAGTGATCCTAGGCGAAAGTGTGACGTCCGGAGAGGATGGGGCAGAAAAGTCATGGGTTTCCCAGCTGAGGAAGCTGCGAAGTGACCTGCGTGACTGCTACCAATCTGATGTGTCCCAAAGTCTGTGGTCTTGCTTCCGCTCCAGGAGTCTGCACATCTTCGAGAACATCATGACGTCTCCGGAGATTTCCATATACGATGGAGTGCGTCTGGTTTCTGCAGCCGATAAGCCAGTCAATTCTTCGAGTGCCCAAGACGAGCGAAAGGATCTGAAGCACCTCACCTGGTTCGACCAGTTGGCAGTGAGTTTGGCCAAGGGCCTAACCACCCACACTTTGCAAGTGAATCTGGGGAAGCTGACAGAACGATACCTAAGTAGTGGTGGGTTTTGGATGGTTTGTAACTATTCTTCGATTCATTGACGAACCCTTTTCATAGAAACCTCCACCACCGATCCTGTGGGAAGTGCCAGGGTGAGACGACATCGCTACAATATGATCATCACCATGATGTTTGGTGTCACCGCTTTGGGAGCTATCTTGGTTCCCATGGGATTCCAGATGCTGTCGATTGTGAGCGGCAAAGCTCTTTTGCTGGCCAAGATGGCCCTGCTCTTGGCCTCCATCAACGGACTAAAGAGGGTATGTGAAGATCAAGTAGTCATGTTACTACTATTTTTACTTTGCTTTACTATTTTTCCTAACTTACAGGTAGCAAACAATGGATTACACTATGGACTATACCATGTGCCAGGGGAACATTTAGGAGGATACTACGACAGGGGGGATGTGAGCCACCCAAGGTACGTGCCCATTCCCGCAGTTTCTCCAACTCTGGAGGTGGGATTAAAATAGGGCAGCTTCGATTAAATCTAGGATGAACTTTTCAAATTGCAACTGCTTTTATCGCAGCGTTATACGAAATCCCATTTAAATGTGGAACAACATTAAGTTATGAGTTTTTTATCATTAAGAAAGCAATGTAACTCGGCCCATTCAGATAGCCCTCTCCAAATGTTAACATTATGCAATAGGCTTAAGTTTAAGAACCAGCTTGAAAGTGTCGTTACATCTCCATTGGATAAAAAAGAGCACATACGAAGTTCCGTTTAATTTAGCAGACAGAAGCACTTTTTAAGAATGTAAACACTGCCTTCGTCTAAGTTCATATAAATAAAAACGATTTTCAATTTAAACGAGCTTTTCCCCAAAGCTTTCCCTGCTGTTTGTGTTGGCAATGCCATAAGGAAACTCACCAGAAAAACTGAATGTGGCTAAAAACCAAACAGCGGCAAGTTTTTCAAACAAGTGCAATGAAAACATAAAGGAAATACTATTAAACTACAATTAGAGAAAATAGCAGCAAAGAAATGTTCCTGTCTAAATAAAAAATAATTGCAAGTCACTCATCAAAGGAAAAGTCCCCTGAAAACTGCCTGGAAAAGCAGGAACTGAACCAGGCGACTGGCTATAAAAGGAAACGCCGCGCTGATAAGGACCTACACTCGGTCGTCGTGCGGCAGCGTTGACGCATCGTCCTTGTTTTCGTCCTGAAACGGTTTCTTGGTTTTGTTCTCCCTGAAAAAACGGTTTCCCCGGCGCAGTTTCAAACCCGCATCAAGTATACGCAGCGAGTGCCCAGTAAGAATTTGCGTGCCACCGTCGCTAATTCCACGCTCTAATGAAGTTATTGGGTGCGTGATTCCCGCTCTAATCTCTGGTCAGACCCAAGGATCAAAGCAGGCGCTCCGGAACTCGAGGGTTAATTGAAAAGTCGCTTCAGACTCAGAAAGCTGAACTTAAATCTCCCCGAAGCGATTGGCTATTTCACTCCGAGGTTTCGAAAATCAAAAGGCGCGATGAAGTTGGTCGTGTATCTCTATTTGTCCATGATTGTGCTGGGCGTTCAGGTGAGTGTCCTCTGAAAGGATTGTAACGCAGAACTTTTTCATACAAGTGTGTCATATTAAGCTACAAAAGTGTTGATGAAGAGCATTTAGCAATAAACTCTGGCATCCCAGTATTGTCATTTGTTCTTTCTCTGCACACCAATAGGTGACAAAGTCACGCGTGTAATTCCGTGTAATTTGATGAACAAGTTGGGGCTAACTTTTGTTTCCATGTTCTTCTAACGACTTGATCTAATTTCGGCCGAGATTTTTAGCCTGATTGATTGATTCTAGCTGCGGCCTTATTGCCAAAGTTTTGGCAGCCTTTCAGTTTTGGCTTTAGCCAGAACTGATTACCTTCATTAGGCTCACGTTGCAGACTCGGCTAGTAATCAATTTATGAAAGTCCAAGCGGGTCAGCGGGTCAAAGTTTGCGCCCGGCCCAAATGAATATTTAATTCCATTTGGTAATGGCCCAATCGGGAAAAGTTCCCCGTGACATTTGGTTGCAGCCGAAACGGAAATAGAACTCGTGCTGACGAATCAGTTAATTATGATTGAGACTTTTCCCAAGATAGATAAGTCAGCAGCCGCCAAAATATCGAATCGAATCCGTCTTTTCATGAAAGGGGTTAAGTGAAATTGGAAAGGATGTCCATTAGTTTGGTTTTCTTCGAATAAGAAAGGAAATGCAAAGTGGCAATTTAAATTTATCAAAATACCACCACATGTTGTGTTTGCCTGCCAAAGAAGGAAACCATTTGGATATGAAAATATTCAAAGGTGTTGGCCGATTAGGGTTCCCTTTTTCTTTATACCTGGTTGCTGCCATCCATCACACGCAGGACCTGCGATCTGTTTGCTTAATGGCAGCATTGGGGGCCAAGTCAGGACGCCGGGAATCCACTTCAGTGGCCAAGGATGAATGTAAATTTCGCACCTGCCATTGAGCCGTGGGCGGTGGCAAAAACCAAACAGTCGCAGCCAGGCGAAGCCCAAATGGAAGGCGAGGGCTTCGAAGGTGTTGCAATGGAACTGCAACTGACTCACTTCTTGTGTGGTCACTCACTTCGGACATGGACGAGATTTTCCCGGGCGGGCTTCCTTCGCTGCTCCCTCTTTCCATCTTTCCGCCCACAAATCCACTTCCTGCTCGATTGCCAGGGAGTCCTGCACTTGATGTGCGCTTAATGTTGACACCGACGCTTTGCCACTTTACAGCCATTTAAACCAGGACATGACAGCCACACCCCTGCTGTCCCATTTCCGTCCGCATTTTCCTGTTTTCCCCCGCCTTGCCCGCCGTTAAGCTTCGTTTTTCACTCCTCGCAACATGTGAGTGCGACAACAATTAAACCATGAATGTTGACGGGTGCAGCAGAGGAGCGAGAGTTGCGGATGGGGAAAACATGGGAGATAAGCTTTAACCTTCAGAGGTGACCTCTAATTGCAGCTGCCACAAAAGCGGTGCTCAGGTGTATCAGAACTGGATATACAGCTTAATTTTCCTCAATTCCCTTACACTGAAAGAAGCTTCCTTAAAAAATTCAATATTACTTTTTGAGTGCTCTAATTGAATCTTTAACAAAGGGCAAGCTAACCTCATAACATATGCTCGTTGCAAGAACCCTGCTTAAGCACCCGAATATGGTTCTGGGATCCCTCAAATTTCCATAAATTGCCTTTGTCATGTAGCAGCAGCCGCGCGAAATTTATGCCGTCTATTCAATTCCGTTCTGGCAGAGCTCTTGCATAAATCTCGAATGCATATGTTCAATAAAAATCTTGGGGCAGAGGAAGCCGGAGCATTTAAGGCAGAACTAATTTCCGCCCTGGAAACACACATGTTTCCATCTTTAAATCGCATTGCAGCTTAGATACAAGCTCTACGACGAGTAGATGACGTCAAAACGTCGAGACCAAAATAACTTTTTGGCCGAATTGCATTTTACAGTTCATTTGCGGTTGCGCTAAATTAATTAAGTGATTAAAGTCAATCCAACTCCTCGTGCTCGTTCAACAGTGCGTATGCGTAATCGAATTCATTTGCGGCTTTCGCTGTTAATCCTCGGATTTTCACTCGACGACTATGAGCTTTGACAATCGGCTGGCTTAACTTTTAATCGGAAAGTTGGATGAGCAAATCAAGCGATTGTCGGATAGGATTATAATAATTTAAATTATTGTTATTTAAAAACAGATGAAGAGTGCCAAATTAGACTCGCTTTTGTTGGTGGAAGTTACTGTTCTCCTGGGACTACTTTTTCTTTATAAGACTTCCGTCCTCCACTCATTCCTTGGCCATCAATTTAACTTCATTGCGACTCGGCTGGCAATATTTCTTTAGCATCCGGCATTATGCGCATATTTGAGCCATCATCGCTCAGTTAGACGAATCCTTTCAGGACGATTCCCTGAGTGAAATTTACTCCGGCCATAAAGTCGTCTAAATATTTGATGGTCGGAGGACAGCCTGTTGCTCCGCTGGACGACGGCGAGTGCATCACTTATTCATGCCCAGGAAGATGCCAAGTCCTCCTCCGCATCCTCTTCTCAAAGCCGCCTCCTTTGAAGCTGTCTTATAACTTAGTCATTCCGCCACCTAAGATTCCCCCTCCAATTGCAACTGTTTGCGTTGGCTGAGGATTAACAACGGAACTCCTGCCGCGATGCCGAAAGTCAATATTTACCTGACCCCCAAAAAGGATTCGAATTTCGGCAGGTGCTTCCTTCCGGCGCCAAAAAACGCGCTTAGGTGTCGGCATCTTCTGGCAGCGAACTTTTAATCAAGTCACAAATATTTCTGGCAACTTAATTCGCGGCAGTGGCATGTGGAGACTTGATTCGCATATCCCTGGCTAATTAGCGGGTTTCTGGAGTGACGGGAACAAAGGATCCTGCCGCCTACGACGTCCTTGCGGGCAAATCCCTCTCTCATTCCTGTATCTCAAACAATGGGAACTGGGAGCTAGGAACCGCAAACAACCGTCTCATTAATCAATTCACGCGACCTCCGAGCAGCCAAAATATTTATGAATGAACCTTTTAAAATAGAACAGGAAAAAGCAGAAGCAACTAATTGAATATTCCGGTTTTCAAATGACAGCATTCTATAAATTATCTGGCTGAGAATGCGAGCCAAAATTACTCAAGAAGTTATAATGTATTCCAAATTCAGGAACCGTTCTGGTGGAAAATTGAACCTCATTCACTTTATTATTTGGCTTTAATTTACTTTACCACAATCAGGATTCAATAGCCAATAAGTGCAGAAATGCAAGTTCAATGGAGGCAAGGCAATAGCCGCTGACTAAAAAGGTTTTCTAAGAAGGATTGCCACAATGTCCACGGACTTTTCTATTTCTGATGCCCCCATCGCCCACAAACTTTTAGCCACTTTCAATGGCCCGACTCCTCGGATCTCCGTGGCAACTTTCGGATAGCAATCCAGGTCCCAATGGAACCTTTTGATGGAGCAGCTGGCGCATCGAGCGATTCGCTTCGTTTGACAAAAGGCGTCCAGCTTGATTTTCACCCCGCAAAATACAAAATCCGATGCCAGTATTGTGATTATGCAAATGAGGCAGCGCCAAGTGTGTTCAAAGGGATCATGTTTATTATTTATTTACTGCCTGTTGACAGTTTATCCATCCAGACTCTCTCGAATCCCCGAAGTTCAACTGAAGATTTGTGACGTCAGGGTGGCAGGCGTTTATTTTTTAAGGGTATCTTTGGAGACCGGGGACTGGGATTAAAGTTGCTCTGCCATAAACCGCCACTAATTGACAGTTCCATAACGCCGACGACTCGTTAAAGCCAAAGCTCGAGTGTTGCGCAAACAAATGTCCCGAAAGCCGAATAACGAGAGCCAAAACTTTTTGGCTTAACTCAATTATTTCAGCCCGCGGCCAATGCGTCACCATTTATCAATTTCCCCGCGGGATGGGCGCTATTTCAATTAACAGCAAAATCTGAAAAAAGTTGCCGCTAATCAATCATAAAAAAGCAAAAGGCAAAGCGCAAAAATTGGGTCGAAGGTTGAGTTGGCTTGGCTTTCTTCATAAAAAGTTTTAAGCTTGCCCCGATTTGTCATGCTTAAAATTCCCTGACCTCCCACGATTTGTATTCCTCCTTAGCCGAGCACGTCCTGGGCGTCATCTGCTCGATTCTTGTTTATTGGAGAATCGTGTGTGGTAGTTTAATTAAAACCGGCTATTGTCCTCCGTCGCGGATGACCTCTTGTCCCTCTGGCAATCCTCTGCAGTTGCATTGTGGGCCGAACCCTAAGTGCCGCATTAGCTGCCCCCCGCGACGATTTCTTTCTTTGGATACAACTAGAGAAGTCGGCGGACATTTGCGCAGAGGACTCCCCGCTGATCCTTCGGCCAGGACCGGGCTCATCTTGGCTTTCCCCTCGTCAGCTCTGGATGTCTGTCTTTGTACGCATTTGTGGAGCAGGATGATTTGCCGTTGGCCCAAGGGGACTTTTCCTCAGAACCTCACGTTAGAAAGTTTCATTTAAAATAGCTCTACTAACAGTTGGTAAAAAGTACATTGGTTCTTTGGAAAACAGAGCTACATTTGGTAACAAAATCTGAAAAATATCTTTAAGGGAAGGGAAATAATGACGTTAACCAAATATTTTTAAGAGTGCACCATCTTACTTTCGCTGTAACTTATGTTTCAGGCCTGGCCCAGTGTGAAGCGGTCCTTTGAGCTCTTCCCCAACCCCGCGGTGCCCCACAATGTGCACACGGTCTCAGGTAAGTTAAGGTTCTCATGTGCAGCGAGCGGGGAAACTTTTCAGTGAAGTGCCCTCGGCGGAGAATGGAAAATGCACTTTGGCGATGGCGGTAGCGACAAGTTTAAAGCGCTTTCTAAACCTTGTTTACCTGTCCCTCAAATTGATTTCTGCATAGGTTGTGAGCGCTTCTTGTAATATCTCGTCTGAGCCATGGAACCCGGGGCGTATGCGCAATTTGTACCATACAACCAAGCAACACGAATTTATTGCCCATTAAAATTCAAATCAAAGTGCACTACACGTTTCGTGTGTCCCCTCTTGACTGTTAAACTGACCCAAACTGCCCGAATGGAAAGGAAAGACTACAAACTTGTGGTCACTCGATGGCCAAGGAGCAGGAATATTGTGATTCCAACGAAAGCATACTTAATAAATTTCATGGATAGCCGGCCACTCGTGCCAACTTCAATTGACTTAATCCCTCAGCCACCCAACCACCCGGAATCCCCTCCCACTTTCCTTCTCCCGGGGGAAAGTCGTCAAAGCAACCGCATGTCAGGTCACAGAAACTGGAAAGTTGCATCAGGTGAAACATCAACAAATCTGTGGCTATGCCGATTTATAATTGCTTTTATTTATAGTCAGGACAACTTTTACTGAGGGGAAAGCGAGCGGGGGTTCGGGGAGTGGGTCAGCTTAATGACGTCACTCCCAGAAATAGAAATGGAAATAGAAATAGCACTTCGAAGGACAAATGGAAAATCCAGGGATTAAACAAAAGGAGCTCAGGTCGCATCGATAAATTGCAGTTATAGAAAAAGAGACAGTTCCATGAAATGGCTAGCTCCTAAATCTCTTTAAAAAGACAACCAAACACTCTGATCAAAAGAAGGTTTAAAGTAATTAAATTTCTCAAGGAATACTAAATTTAAATTTCACTTTTTGCGTCATTCTATCAAATGTATGCTTTGAAAGCCAAAGTAAAATGCTGAATTCTTTATGAGTACTCATTACCAACAAGCCACTCCGATTATGATTATTAAACCATAATGCCTAATCAATTATGAATAGAGCCGTTTTAATTGTCTGCCGCAATAAATAGAAATGTTAAAAGGCCAAAAAAGCCGCCACTTGAAAGCAATTAGCGAGTGCCATAAACAAATTGGCGCCAAGTGACAGGAGTTGGTCCCCGGTGGCGGCTTTCCCCATCCTTTAAAGGACCCAATTCCCCCACAAGGGATCCACGTACATCCCACGAAGCCCACACGAGTACACTCCGAGTATGTGACATGCATGTCAAGAACGGGACAAAAACTAAGCCAAACAGTAGTTTAATTGTTTTTCGGCCTGGTTGGGAGATGCCCGAGAGCGAGAGGTCATAAAAATCACCCACATGGCCGACGAGTGGGTGACCGGCTAATAATGCTGGCCATAAATCAGCCAACGATGGCCGGCATTAAGTGGATGCGCATGATAAATTAATTGTTGCCCAGGAGCCAAGTTGGAAACAATCAGGGGGATTTCAATTGGCTTCCCTAATCCCTCCACTTCTCCTGCAGCGCGTGGAAATTTGCCAAGACAAATTGGTTTCGGATTCGGTTGTGGATTCGGATTGGGGCCGCAGTTAGTGCTCCAGGGCATCGAGTGCATTTGCTACATACGGAGAAATTTATCTATGCTACAATACTCCTTGCTCTGTAGCTTTTGTTCCACAAGTTTGTATACCCTTCCTCGCAGCAAGAATGTTTTCATCAGCAAAAGGGGTTAAGGGATTGTTTAGCCTTCGAGAACTTCACTTGACACCTTTTCCCCCAGTGCAAAGCCATTAAGTCCCACCCTCGTGCCTTTCGTCCTTCCCCAGATTGCATGCATGTGGCCTCCGAGGCAGGTGACTACATCTTCAAGAAGCTCAACCCCCTCAGTTCGGCACTCAATCGGGAGGCAGCTCTGCTCGAATTGGAAGCGGCAGCCGCCGCAGGAGTGGGAGTTGGAGTGGGAGTGGGAGTGGGCGAAGGAACAGGAGCAGGAACTGGAACAGGAGCAGATGTCCAGGAACTGCAGCCCGAGGTCTGTGGGCTTTATGTGATTGGGGAGCCAGACACGATTGTGGAGATTACAATGAAACACTACGACGCGAACTGCGAGACCGGAGCCCTAATGGCGGTAAGTGCTCCAGTGGGTCGCTAAATTATGCTCAAGTGTATTCCGCATAGTTTGTTGATGGCTGGGAGCTGAATGGCGAGTACTTTCCGGGCATAAAAGATCACCATCGCCCGCTGGAGGAGCGTGTTTACGAGTTCTGCAACAACTACAGGCAGTGGTGGGTGGAGATTAAATCGATGTCCCCTTTATTGCTAATCCTTTAACCCTTCAGGCCCCGAGTGAGCAACAAGAAGTTCTTCCGCTCCAGCCAGAATGCCGCCCTGCTCCAGTACCGCATTCCTGCTCGCGGCTCCTTTGTGGCCAACGTGCGATTCCACAAGATCTCGCAACGTGAGTATTAATCCTCTAATAAATATAGGAGATATTAAAAGGGATATTAACTGCTCTTTTTTAGCCTGCAATGTTTTGGTCCAGGACACGGCTGCCATGTACAAGATGACCAACTTTGGCCAGGCTCGCAACTGTACCATCTCGGCGCTCTTTCCGGCCGTGGTCTCCTTGGCCAGCTTGCGGATTGGCGGCAAGAGCGTGAGGGCCCAGTCGAAAGTCAACTACGATGTGGGTACAAACCTTACCTATTTTTTCTTCCAATTAAATTTCATTCCCTATGCAGTGCCAAATGCCCAGCGACCGATTGGAGATCGGAGGCTCCTCTGGACTCGATTCCATCGGAATGGAGCACGCCAGTGCCGTCTGCGGATCCTCCAGCGAACTGGGTCCCGAGCAGGCGATCTTCTGCGGGGTGAGCACCGTGAGGCTGGTGTCCTCGGGCCGGTTCCAGAACCAGGCGGCCATCGTCCTGCGGAAGGCCGAGGACCAGGACCTCGACATCGCCACGCTCATCTGTGCGCTCTAAGCGGCGAGCGGACCTCTGTCCAAAGTGTATATGTTTGTAAAAAAAATAACGAAACGAGAATCCAGAGCAGCGGACGACTCCTCCCCGGACTCCATTGTAGTGCTTAACTTACTCTTAACTTATCCAGCTAATTCGCAAAGTATTCGCTACCCGAGAGGCATCTTAGGTAATATATATATACATGTATATCGAACATTCTGAGTGTTGACTACAAGAATCGAGTGTGTTTATTGTTTCGTTTATATTTATCTCCAGGGGTTCGGGTCTTTCCTTAGTTGTTTTATGACCCGTTTTACGGGTGCGATTATCGCCATTTATAATGTGGCTATATTATAGACTGGGGGTATTGATAAGTCTTATAGAATAAGTTTAGATGCAGTTAGAATCGCCAAAAGGGAGGCCAAACTGATGGCAGTGAGCCCGGAAGCTCCTCCTCCATCGTTATCATCGGTAATTTCCTCATTTTCCAGCTGGAAAAATTGAATATAGCTGATTAAAGGTAAGTTTAGTAGGATATTTTAATAATAACTTACACTTTCAGCCAGAATGGCCTGCAGTTCCTTGCAGCGAGTGCGCTCCTGGTAATTACTGGTGGCGAGCCTGCAGATTGTCTTACTCAGGCAGGTGTCATCGCATCCCTCCGCCAACTTGGGATCGGAGTTGGTGAACTTATTCCTCCAGAACTTCCTCAGCAAGGCCGGCTTCTCAGCCATTTCCACCAGCAAGCGATCGATTCCCGCGGGACTGGTGTCCTCGGTGAACTCCTTGGTGAACTGGTACTCCAGCTCCCACTTTGGCTGCTCATCGGGCTTCAGGTTCGCCTCCGTCAGGTTGAACTTGTAGGTGTGGTGCTCCAGGACCTGCCAGTTCTCGGGACTCAGCTCGTACAGCCGGTAGTTGGGGTTCGTGTTCGAGTAGGGGGTCAGGCTGCCGCCGTTCCAGTTGACCACCGTGGCATGACCCTCCTCGGAGTAGTGCAGATTCATCTCGTCCTTGTGGGTGTGACCGCTGAACACTCCGGTTATGATGCCGTTGAAGCGGGTCAACACCCTGTTGTACTCCTTGGCCCAACTGCTCCAGCAGTCGCCGTCGCCAGCGGGGATGTGAGTCAGGATGTGAACCGATTCACCCGCCTCCTCGGCGGACAACAAAGTGTCGTGGAACCACTGCAGTTGCTCCTGGATCAAGGTGGCGTTGTAGAACAACCACCAGTTGTACAGGTAGCAGTCCATGCTGTTCAGCGCCACAATCCTGTGTCCTTGGCTCGGCGAAACAGTGTAGTATCCTCCCCGCAGGACGGTGGTCTCCGCCTCCGCTGGCAACCACTTGGACCACAGACTCCACACGTGCTTGTAGAGCCAGTCACTCTTCAGGTCGGCTGGCACCTCATCATTGCCGAAACTAAAACAATTAGGGAAATTTACAGAAAAGAAAGAAAGCTCATATGAGTTACTGAGTGATAGACTTCCCTAATAAATAAATGCATTGATAGTCTACTTAAAAGCAATTAAATCATTAGTGCCCACCAATCGTTTAAAAGCCGATCACCATAAAGTTAAGAAGATTAAAATAGTTAGTAGTAGCACTGAAGGTGGTACCTTCAGTCAAAGTGGTGGTAAATATTTACTGCTGGGGACCATATCACGTTTTATTGCTTTGCTGTGGGGGAGCTATTGTGGGAAAATGTTACAATAAACTTTATCGGGGCGGAAAATACAGAAGTTCCCAAACGGTATTTTACGAGATCTATATTTGGCTATTTTAAAATGCATGGTAAACTTAATCTCGCTGGGAAATCCAGAAGCACTCAAACTTTAAACATTTTATGGGGTTCGGAATGTCACTAACAATTCGGTAAAAAGGACTCAATACAGAGGGGTTATTTTATATGACCTTTATATTTTTTGTTAGTGGGTCAGAAACAAACAGACGTTCTCCTTAAAGCAAAATAACTACGAATTACCCAAAAACTACTTTCTGCCCCAATTCAGCGCAATTTCAAACACGTTTCTTTGAACTCTCTCCTTCTGGGTCATTAGCTTAATAATATTGAGTGACTGCAAATTACGGGTACTCACACATTCGCCGGATGGGGTTCGTGGTTTCCGAGGCAGGGGTAGATGGGCGTGTTCGGGAAGTACTCTGCCAGCAGTCCGTCGATTTCGGTCAGCATGTCCATGTTTCCCTGCCTGGTGGTGGACCAGACGTTGTGCGGCGGAACATCCCCCGTGTGGTAGATCCACTCGATCTTGTGGTTCTCCTTGATGTGATTGAGGGCGCTCAGGATGAGGTGGATGGGGGCGTCGCAGTCGCGGTAGTCCGACCAGTAACCAGCCGCCGCCGAGGAATCGGATCCCGCGTCTAAGGGATTCCGGCAGCACATGGGCTCATCGCAGTCTGCATTGCTGCCAACGACGTATCCCGGGTCGTAGTGGATATCGGTGAGCTGCAGAATCAGGATGTCCTCGGAGCTCTTGGCGGGCAGTTTCGAGTTGGACTCCGTGGGCAGGTCCCCCTGGATGGTCAGGGTGAGGTTGTACTCGTCCTGCTTCACCTGGCAGATGGCAATGGGCAGCATGCTGCAGAAGGACTGCGAGCTGGCCACGGTTTCGTTCAGGATGAAGTCGAAGATGGGCCAGTTGAGGTCGAACAATCCGGTGCACACCTCCTGGGTGCTAATGGCAAAGTAGTCGCAGAGACCCAGCAGCAGCTTCTTGGCCTCCTCGTCCCTCTGCGGACCACTCAGTTCTCCCTCGGTGAAAGTTCGGGCAAACACATTTATGGTTGACCTGCACAGGGTGCACACGAAGAACTGATCGGTGGACGCCAGCTCGGCCATGGACTCCGTGAAGATGGCCTTCTTGCTGTGGCTGTTCCGCATGTCCTGGCCCAGTTGCTTCAGGCGCTCAGTCTCGATGCCAGTCCGGTGGTACTTCAGGTACTCGCGGCTTATCTCCTCCGCCATGCTGGCTGCAAAAGGCAATCACGGATGTCAGAAATGAATGTACTCGAAGCTGTCAGCCGAAGGTAATCTCTTGTACACTTCCAATTGAGACTCGGTGACTATCTCACTGCGTGATCCAACCCATTCATATATTTTTAAGTTCACAGTGAATCAATATTAATCTCTTAACACTTTCACCCACCTGAGACGATAGCTGTGGCACGTTGTTCCTTGGTGAGATTATCGGGGGCATTGGGCAGGCTGAAGGCCCCGCACCCGACGAGCAGGATGGCGATCCCCAGAAGAGTTGTGCTCCAGATCAACTTCATGGCGAAACTGAGTCCAGGATGGAACCGAGCCCCTACTTATAGCCCCATATAACCGCTATCGGCTTATCCGCTTATCAGATGCGGTGATATTGGCCAAATAAAATGCCACCGGTCATCAGCCCATACTAATTGCAGTACGGGGACAGATTTCTTACCTGCTAATCGGCAAGGAGTAGCTGTAGCTATGATCCCTATAACAACAGCGGATTCTAAACAGTGTCCAATAAACAATATTTTTTCCACAATATCTTAAGGACTTTAGTTTAACCATGAACTCTATCAAACTTTGAATAAGAATTGAACAATCATTATTAAATCTGCAATGATTAAATAAAAAACTGAATTTATTTCTGGAATCGGTAAATCCCTTAACCATTTTTGGGAACATAATACGGAGTACATAATTTGTAGTTTTTTATACACGATAGCATACATTTTACATATATTTTTTTCTTTAGTGTAATTAAAGGTGAGTCAATGGCATGATCGTGCGATCCGGGATCACGTTCTCCACTTGACCGATCCGTCGTAAATCAGTCCCAAAACAAAACTCTTCTGCACGTGCTTACACCATGCCTTGGCCATAAACCTGTAGCCAACCGTTTGTTTATGACCAGCTCGCACCAAATGGCTAATTTGCGCTAATCGCCATTAGCCGATAAGGCAATCGGCAGAAAACAAAGTCCCCCCAAAAAAATCAAAGAGATTAGCTTCGATAGGGATAAGCGCGTACTTCTATTGCCACTTCAGAGTGGTCAGTTCGGAATGGAATCCATCCGCTTTATATAACTTAGGGGTACAATGAGCGTAACTAGCAGCTAAGGCGGATGGCCAGGACCACGGCCAGCAAGGAGCTGATGCTGAGCAGTCCCAAGGAGGAGGATCCTCCGCCTCCGTTGTCGTCACCCGGAGTGGTGAGTTCGATTCCTCCAGGCGTTGTGGGTTCGCTGACTCCAGGCGAGGTGTTATCCTCGTTGTCCAGCTGAAGAGAAAATTATACGTCAGGTTTGATCTTATGGATTTATGGGAGTAAACTCACAGCGGCAAACAGCTTCTCCCGCAGCTCCTCGCAACGTCCTCGCTGGGAGTTGATGGTCACGGCAGCACGGCAAAGAGATCCTGCCAGGCAGGTGCGATCGCATCCGCCGTTGACTTGGGGATCCGCAGAGGTCACTCGGTAGCGCCAGTACTGAAGGAGAATTAAGAGATTATTAGCTTTAAAAATATGTATAAAAATATATGAAAGGGAATGGGATCTTAGCTCACCTTCCTCATCAGCGTGGGATTCTCGGCGAACTCATCCAGTAGCTTGTCAATGCCAGCAGGACTCGTGTCCTCGGTGAACTCCTTGATGAACTCGTACTCCAGGAACCACTCGGGCTGCTCGTCCGGCTTCAGGTTGGCGTCCGTCAGGTTGTAGATCCAGGTGAAGTGGTTGGTCACGGTGTAGGTCTCGGGATTCACGGCGTACTGACGGTAGTTGGGGTTCTTGTTCGAGTAGGTGGTCACAGCACCTCCGTTCCAGGCAACCGCAGTGGCGTGTCCCTCGTCCTCCGAGTAGTAGACGAACAGCTCGTCCTTGTGCGAGTGCCCCGTGAAGATGCCACTGATGGTGGCGCTGAAGCGGGTGATGCAGCGGTTGAACTCGCGGGCCCACACCGACCAGCAGGTTCCGTCGCCCGAGGGGATGTGGGTCAGCACGTGGACGTACTCGCCGGCCTTCTCCGCCTCCAGGAGGGTGTCGTGGAACCACTGCAGCTGCGGGATCTTGTCCGTGCCACTGTGGTACAGCCAGAAGTTGTCCGTGTAGCAGTCGTTGCTGTTCAGGGCGATGATGCGGAATCCCTTCTTGGGCACCACCGTGTAGTAGCCTCCCTTGAGGATCGTCTCCTTCGTCTCCTCCGGCAGCCACTTGGACCAGTCGTTGTACAGGTGCTCGTACAGCCACTTGGTGCTGACCTCATCCGGAACGCCTTCGGGACTGAACCTGGAATGCGAAAATCACGTGAGAGATTAGCAGGTGCGGTAAAGGAATCGAAAAACATTATAAATTATAAGGTGAGGAAATCTAAATTATAAGATAAGGATTTAATGCAGCTCTTTTAATCCTAATCTCAGATAAAGAGTTAATTTTCACGATTGTCATTCAGAAATATATTCAAATAAAACGTAGATTACCCAAAAATGGAACTACTCCACTTTATAAGATAACCCAAGTGCAAAGCTATTTTTACTTACAGGTTTAGAGGATGAGGCTCGTGGTTTCCGATGCAGGGATAGACGGGAACATCGCCGAAGGCCGCGTTGAGGCGGTTGCTGACTTTGGTGAGCACCTCGGTGTTCTTCGCCACGGAGGTACCCCACACCATGTGATCGACGATGTCTCCAGTCTGGTAAACGTAGTCGCACTTCGTGTTCGCCACCGCGTGATCCAAAGCGGACTCGAAGGCGTGCCAGGGAAGATCGCAGTCCCTGTAGTCGCCCCAGTAGCCGGCGGCGTCGCTTGTGCCCTCCACCTCGTCCTTGCCCCTCTGGCAGCACATGGGCTCGGCACAGGTGGCCCGACTTCCCGGAGTGTACAAGGGATCGTGGTGAATGTCGCTGAACTGGCAGATCCTGATGTCGTCGTCGCTGAAGCGAGGGGTATCGGACTTGGGTCCGGTCAATGCTGCTCCCGTGTTATCCACGGGCAGAGTCCAGTTGTAGTCCGCATTGGAGCCCGCGTTGCAGAAGCTGTACTCCATGAACAAGGAGCAGAAGCTCTGGGAATCGATCTCCGAGTTCCGCAGGATGTAATCCACGGTGGCCACGTTGCCGTCGATGAGGCCCTCGCAAACCTCGTCGGTCTGCAGGTTCAGTCTGCGACACACGTCCATGGCGAAGTCTTTCATGAGGAGGGTGCTACCCTCGCCGTGAAGCTCGCCCTCCTCGTCGCGAATGGTGCGGATGAAGACCCGCATCACCGACCGACAGGCCACGCACACAAAGAAGCTGTCCCGCGGCTCCAGATCGGGCATGTTCCGGGTGAAAATGTCCTTCGCACTGTGCGACTTGGCCAGCTGGTTGGTGAGCTTCAGGAACTCGGGCGTCTCCACTCCGGTCTTCAAGAAGGTAACGTACTCCTTGGCCAGGCGCTCGGATATGTCGTCCGCAATAGCTGACAGGATGTGGTCGTCCAGATCAAAGTCCACAGGCACTCCGGGCAGGTTTACGGCGGAAACCGCCAGAAGCCCGTAGGCCAGAGCGACCGCCACTAGGATTCCGATTCCCCTCATGGTTCGCAGAGCAACTGGAGCATAACTGCCGTCGGTGGGGCCACTTATAGCCTCAGTTTATCTCCCTCGACCAGCTGGCCAACCCATTGAAAGGGGCAGGAAAAGGCATTCGGAGGAGATTAGCCTAATCTGGAATTGGAGAGCTTTTTATTTGTATATATTCGGCTCATGAAGTGGCCATAATCTGCCTCCGGTGGGGCAGATTGCTGATTTCCTAATAATACATCGTAAAAGTGGCTATTTCGGCAACTCACCGCTAATTGGCTATATTAGCTATATAATAGGATAACTAATGACCTTATAAACTTTTACTAAACAGCACTTTTTACGTTATTCTTCATTCAATCCAAAATCAGGACATTAATACTAAACAAGTCTTTAGTAAAAACTAACAAATCTTATCACTTACTACTTTTGCGAAAAAAAAAAAAGTATGCAAGATTAGAAGCTGGCATTCCCCACTGATAATCTATAAATTTAAATAAGTTCTTTTATTAATCTTTTAACAATTATGACAAAAAAACATTTTTAAGAGAGGTGATCACCTTGTGATCGGTTCTTAACGATTTTCGATACAATTCAATCTTTTTAATTTTTTTTTGGTAAAATTGCGCTTTAGCGGCTTTTGCTAAAAATGGTCTAGGAATTTTTTTTTTTTTTTTAATGGATACCTTGGGGCCTAAACATTAATAAAAAAGTGGCGGAAAGCTTGATTTCTAAGTATTTATTTGTAAAAATAGCAAAAAAGCAACTGGCCATAGCTTTTCTGGGTATTCACTCAGTACTATAAAATCACTCTGAGTCATTTCGCAACCTTTACAGCGCTCAGTAGTAAAATTGGCAGTGCCTGACATGGTAAAATTGTTAAATTTCTTTTGTTTTTAAATTTTCACACAATTGCAGCACTCTTCATCCACAACACATTCTCAACGGTAAAGCTTTTCGCTAGAAAAACATGGCAATGTTCTAAAACGGGTTGCCTCGCGGCAGTAATAATTGCAATTTTAACACATTAATAATTAAAATTTAAGCTTTCCGCCACTTTTTTATTAATGTTTAGGCCCCAAGGTATCCATTAAAAAAAAAAAAAAAATTCCTAGACCATTTTTAGCAAAAGCCGCTAAAGCGCAATTTTACCTTTTTTTTCTGCTCTTTGTAAAATTTTTAAATTGCTAACTTTTTTAAATTACCTACCAATTAAATTGCCAGAATCTGAGATTCGAATTTAAATATTTTTCCGCTTTAAGAATCAAGTGTGACCATGATGCAGTACTCGTCTGGTACCCGTTACGCACAGCCTACCTGCCTGGTCCCACTGCCTCCTCCTCCGCACGGTCACACTGACCCCCCAAACGAGTGATTTATAAATATTGAAGGCAGGGCGATAATTTTCACCTTTCGTAGCGTTGTGAGATGCCAGCCGAAACCCAGGACTGCCTGTGAGTGTTCGGGATCGGGTCGAGAACAGGAAGCACCGACGCAGGGCAAGCGAAAGGACTCCGAGCACAGGATTAGCAGAGAGCACGGCCAGAGGCAACAACAAAAGACCCCGAGAAGTGACGCCATTTTCTGTGCGAATAAAGAGCAGGTGGGGCGCGCAGCAGAAAACCCGATAAAGCCGTGATACTTATTGAAAGGCCAGCAGGATGAGCAGCCTAATCAACTTCCTCAACCCGAAGCTGAAGCCCTCGGTGGAGAGCGATGCTGTTTGCGAGGATGGCTACACGGTAGCCAATCTAATCGCAGATGATGTCGAGCAACTGGAGAGGGGATTTATGTGCTTCGCCGTGTGCAAACCACCCGTGGAGATCGTCTTCGACTTTCCCAAGGCGGTGGACATGAAGGTCATCAAGTTGTGGCCGTCCTGCGGAGCCCTTCGGTCCACTGCCTTTGAACTCCACGGACGACACGATGGAATTTGGGAGCGAGTGGCCTTTGTAAGAGACCTGGGACGCGGCGTGGATTCGGTGACGTTTTGCTACCAGAGCGACTACAACTCGAGGAGCGCCTCCAACTCGGAGCAGAGCGAGAAGGTGTTCTTCTTCAAGTCCGCGCACAAGATCCTGGCCAACACAAATAGCGTGAAAGTGGTCATTAGAGCCACTGAACGGTGTCCTCCGGTATTGCGGAAGGTGCAGATGTGGGGACTGCCCGCTCGTTCGCTGGACAAAGCCGATCGGGAGCTGGTCAAGAGCATCTGGAGCGAGATAAGCGATCCCTACGGGCAGAGGGATGCCGCCCAGACGCCCACGGGTCAGAGGTCGCCTCCCAGACATGTTCCCGAGCTCAGGGAGCAGTCCTCACTCTCCATTCCCGAGGAGTTCCTAGATTCCATCACTTGGGAGCTAATGGTAAGGAATCCATTTCATACTGTCAGGCAGGCTTGCTGAAATTGTTTTTGCTTAAATGCACATTTCGACTTCTATGACTGCATACATAACCATGAATCAGCGTCAGCCATTTTGTCGATTCCACTTCCGCAAGAGCAATACTGAAGGTCAACTCATTCGTGCCTAAACAATGTACCAGTGAATTGACTGCGACTAAACCATACCACTTTATCATGTTATAAAACAAACTAAGAGTTTAACCGAAATTTATTTAATCTATTTGAATCACTCCCCCAAACGTTAAAAAATATTATCAGTATCCAACCAGGCAGCTAGCGAAATCGTTAGTTATTCAACCAAGTAATTAGATATGCTATTAAATAACTTTATCTCACATGTATAAAGTTAACCTCCCCACCTCTGTTACTCCTCTAATGTTTAACCTCTCCGTTTCAGATCTTTCCCACCGTACTGCCGTCTGGAAAAGTGGTGGACCAGTCGACCATAGACAAGCACGCCGAAGAGGAGGCCAAATGGGGTCGTCAGCCGTCGGATCCTTTCACAGGACTCGAGTACAATGCGCAGCGCAAGGCCATCCTAAACTTGGCTTTGAAGGCGCGCATCGAAAAGTTCCTTATGGAGAACTCAGAACACTTTAAGGCGGTGCCGCGTTCCCTAGGATCTTCCCGCCTGCGTCGTCGCCACGCCTCGCAGTTCGCCAGCAGCACCTGTCAGCCGGGCCAGATCAGTCCGGCTGCAGGCACCTATTCAGCACTAAGCAACGCCTACAAGCAGCAGCAGCGGAAGAGCAGGGCCACCGCCACGGCCACATCCTCCTCGTCGGCAGCATCCTTTGGCGGATCGCCGCACTCGCCGCCGGCAGCCAAGAGAGCGAGGCACAGCCACCATGGGAGCGCCTGTGCCACCGTGACCTCGGCCACGACCTCCATCGACCAGGCCATCCAGCAGGCGCTGCAAAAGGTCACGCGCTTCAGCCAGTTGGCACCGAACTCCGGCGCTGGCTCGACGGGATCGTCCAATGTTCCTCCTGCCAGCTGCATAAACTGCCGGAGCGCGCAGTTCGGATACGAGATCCGCACCTGCCGCCATCTGGTTTGCCGAGAGTGCCTGGTGCTCCTCTCGCGCGACCAGCAGTGCGTCTGCAAGGTCTTCTTCCGGGGCGCCGACGTGGAGCGGTACCACAAGCTGGATCCTTAAGAGCTTCCCGTACTTTTCCCGGTCGATCTGCATTGAGTCGACCGCTGCAATAAGTTAGGTTCTCCCCCACTTTGTTCAGTTCGTAAGCCAGTCAATCGCTTTAGCCCCTAGGCCTCGTCTACGTTAGTTTATAGTCATATCAGAGTCGGTCTGGTCGCAGAATCGCAAAGGAAGCCAAATGTGTACACGCGCGAGTCTTTCCCGATTCGGCAGTATGTATCAGTATCAGGTCACGTTTAGTCATAGAGCAGATTACGGATTACCGATTAGCAATAGAGAGTGCGCGCATAGTTTTTGTAGACACTTTATATACAGTCCCCAAAAGACAGGATCGTTCAGCGCGAGTTTATATATTCATACCAATTATACCTAGAATAAAGTACAATAAAACTTAACCGATTGTGTGATCAATGGACAGAGGCGTTGCTGCAGGTTAATAACTGAATTAGGAGGGAAATTTAAGTTCGTTATTTTTAAACAAATTTTCTCAATTTTTAACTTAATTAAAATATTTGTAAAACTGCAATTCACCTCAATAAAATAATTTACAATATTCATTTTTATTTACATAAATTATTATCTACTTTTTCCTATATTTACTATACCCTACGGCGCCACCTGTCGGAACATTTTGGAAACTCAATTTTTGCTGTTTAGTTATCGATATTGTTACAAGAAAACAGCTGACTTATTTCGCACTTACTTTTGTAAACAATTTAAAATCCTCAGATATTTTTTGGCTTTTTCTGTATTTTAAATGTCCAAGGAGGCGAATATAACTCCACAATCCGGACGGAAACCCCGATTGGGCTTGGGAAAACGTGGCTGTCAATCCACACCTTTAATGAGGCTCAAGAACGAGGAATCCGCTGAAAGAACACCAAAAAATAGGAACCTGGAGACTCCAAAAACCCTAGCTCTATCCCTGAGCGGCCGCAGAATAGGTTTATCCAAAAACAGGACGGATTCCTTGTCGAAAAAGAAACTGGAGTTTGCTGTGGCGCAGGAATTTAAGGAGGAGGAGCAGAAAAATGTAACGAATACATCTAAAAATGAACCAAAGAAACCGGACAAAAAAAATACGGATAACCAGAACTGTAAAAAGGCAGAAGATGGAAACAACTCAGAGCAGGAAAATCATCCACAGGCAAACCAGCCTGAGGAATGTCCAAAAAACCGCCAAATCATAGAACTTGAAGGCGATATTGAAGTTTGGCGCCGTGCGTTTATAGCTTCTGTGCATGATATACTGACAATGGTAGAGCCAGGACTCTCGAAAAGGGACCTTCTTGCTCAGCTTGGCATTCCCCTCGCGATGCTGCGCTATCTAGAGGAGGATTAAGTTTACATAAACGTAATTTTTCATATAATTTAACATTGAGAAACTGTATTTCCCTTGCAACAAAGCGGCAAATTAAACTTAAGGACAAACTAGTACTTGTGCGGGCGTACTGGGCGTTCGGGATCGAAGAGCTTGGGGTCCTGCAGGAAGTCGAGGTCCTTGTGGTATCCTGGCATCAAGAGACATTGTTGTGCCCGCAGGATGGCCTGTTCCACTTGCTCTTGCCGACGCTTGCATAATCCGGTGATGTGCCGTCCGTAAATGCGACCCGTATAAGGCGATTGGAATTGGGAAAGCAGCTTCACGTTTTTATAATGCGGTTCGATGCTGTGCTTGCACAGGATACACCTTTGAGGGTCCTTTTCATAAGGATTCGTTATGTCGATGGGCAAATCCGAGTCGACAGATTCTGGGGAAGCAGAATAGAAACGGCTGGTAGCGCCCAGCTGCTGTCTTCCCACTAAGCTAACCACTGTGGCTGAAAGACATGATTTAACTTAGATTCCATGTCAATAGTTACTCTTTTAACTTACCATTTCGCGCTATAAATTTACCCAGTTTTAACATGTTTAACTTTTTTTCAGAAAACAACAAAGGACAGTGTTGAATAATGACCGCCGGCAACATGTGTTGTCGTATCGATATATCGATAGCTTCCAACTTTGGATTTGATTAATACCATTCCACAACGGTCATACTTCTGCTTAACATTTATTAAAACTCTGAAATGAAACCTAGATCGCAAAAAAACTCAAGGAAAACCCAATGGAAAAGCACAAAAAGGTCCTGGTAAGGGAGCCCACCCTCAGAAGCCCTACTTCAAAAACAAAAACAAACAAAAGACAAAAGGGGTAAGCGAAAAATCAATTATATGGAAAAGGTATACCACACATGTTTACCCCAATATCTTTTAGGATAAGCCAAATAAACCAAACAAGCCTGAGATCAGGAACATGAAACGCCAGGAGAAAGCTGCACAGGTTGCGGCGGAAAGAGAGAAGGTTCGGGCGGAACGGGATGCCCGGGTAAAAGCCTACAAAAAACAACGTTTGGAAAGGACCAAAGCCATCAGCAAGAGAACCCAACGTGGGCAGCCTTTAATGAAGGACCGGATGCAATTGCTCCTGAAGCAAATCGAGGAAATGAAGCGTCGATAAGTGAGTCTCAGGACCTATTAAGAACACAAGGAACACTCTCCCATATTTTCAGTAGGGCTAATATTCCTATTAAAGACATTAGGTTCAGAGCACCTCTAGTCCATCTTAAATAATGGTGGAAAATTATATGATATTGGGAAGTGATTATTTTAAGATTAGGTTTACTTTATTTTTAATTTAAATAAATTGTTTTCCAAAACCATTTTTATTTGTAAACAAGTTTTGTTGATTTATACTCATTTGGAAATTGTTGTTTAAAGGCCCTAATTAGTAATCCGAAGTAATAGTCGTAGTCTTAATTCTATGCATTGTATTTACGATACAAGAAAGTATGGCCGTCAGCTGGGTGATGGACAGGGGGACCAACGCGGACCGTCTGGAAGATGCATTCTAGGTGGACGTGCCGCAACTGTCTGTACACCCAGAAGTGCGACTACACTCTCCTCGTGAGGGCGGCTGGAAACAGGTGCTTCGGCAAGGTCATGTCTCTGCCGAAGGACGCTGGCGAATGGTAGTCGGGCGAGGAGAAGACAACTCCGCAAGATCACCCCAATCCAAGACGGAACCTCCTGCGTCGAAGGATGCGTGGCCGAGGGGGAGCTCGGTTATAAGCAGGCGAACTCTGCGCACCTGTCGAACCGCAGTTTCAATTCAGACTTCCTGCGACATCTCGGGCTCTGTCGTGGGCGACCTCCTTTCCCGTGCACTCGTGGGAATCAAATGAATAGTTCAATAGTTACAGAGTCCGATGCTGCTCTTAAAGCATCACAACTGCAGAATCCTAAAGGGGATTCAGGTCCTGGCTTTGTCAGGTTGAAAACGAAACAGAAAAAGCTGCTTAAAAAGGCCCTTCTAGGGGGCCTAACCAGAGAGAAGGCTTTAAAAATGGTGCAAGCCATTCCCGTTGTTAAGGGTCTTCTGCCCGCTCCATATAAAATCAATGAGTTAGTTAATCAGACCAATAGCGTAGTAAAACCTGTTAGATTAGGCATTTCCTCGGAGTCTGCTGGGACTCCCCTAACATCCAATCAAATGTCCTCGATCAAGGAGGCCATAATTGACGTTACAGTTGAGCAATCAGGTAACCTGAAGCCTCAGTTTGAGGGATGTGCCGCGCGAAAGGGTTGGCTATTAGTAATTTGTAGCAACTTATTAACTGCAGAGTGGCTCAAACGTAATTTCTCTCATGTTCGGACCAAAGCAGGTCTAAAACTAAGGCTTATGGGGGAAGAGGAACTGCCCCGGAAAAACGTGGTCCAAGGCTATTTTCCCGACAGCCTGTCTACAAGCAGTAAGAAAGTTCTAGATATTATAGAGGCCCAGAACCCGGTGTCCACTTCAGAGTGGAGGGTCATGAACAGGTTGACCCACGGTGACCTTCTGCATCTTGTCCTCACTGTTGACAATGAGTCCCACAAAAAACTGGTCGACCTAGATGGGATTATCTCCTTTCGCTTCGGACGTTTAAAACTTAGTATGAGGGAACCCTTGAACAAGAGAAAATCTTTACTGAACGCCAAAGAGGGCACAACAAGTATATCGCAATCCACAGAGACAAGGTGGCCAAATCCGGCAGTTGTTCCTGATCGTCAACGAACAGTAGTAGGAAATGACGGTCCATGGAACTACATTAATTCATGGAACAGCTTCGAAAACCCTTGGAACATCTGCAATAGCCCATGGAACCATTGGGATCAGCAACATAACTTTAGGTATGGTTCAACCGATCCGCGGCAATGTCCGCGGGGCTCCTTGAGTGTTGAAGATTGTTGGGTTAGAGCTACGCCTCCTTGGCTTGGAAACAACTGATTCGAAATCAAGTAAGTTGTTATCAAAAAAATAAGTACATAACATATAGTACATACTTGCACAGCGATGCTGTTTGACATTTGTGTCAAACTTGTTCCATTAACAAACTTTATTTTCAGGAACTCCTAGTTAAAAAATAACAACAACTTTCGTCGCTTTTCAACGAAGATGTATAGTACATCTCTTATTCAGAGGTATTTAGAGTTTTTAATGAGTAGACATTTATACAGGACATCTATACAGGACTCTTCCAATTTCCACTTCCACCAACCTCAATATGGTTTATTTTAAACAGTGAAAACTTTTAATTTTGCTTACAGCATTTCATACAGTAACACTGGTTACACTTAATGGATTACAACGATTTATCTTAAAATCAAGCTACAAACAAATCTGTGAGTTTTTTATAGAGTTTCGGAAACCGTTTTCGATTCTTTGGTAAAACATGTGGTTTTAATCCAAAGTGGTTATGAACTCTATTCAACCATATATCTTTGCGAAGACTTGCATATTGTTATATTTTATGTCCACATCCGCTGAAGAAATAAAAAGAGATGATTATGGAGTCATTGAAATCTTGGTAAAAAAGTAAGGCGCTTTGATGCTCCCTTGGGCTTTTCCACATTAACTTTTCCGAGCACGCTCCTCTCGCTAATTAAATCTAATGCAACCTGTAATAAATTCGCTTGTCGCGCTCTTCCGGCCGTGCGAATCAACCCTTTTTTTCGCGACTGGCTATGCAAATTCGGCGGCAAATTGCCTTTCGGCCTTATCATCCTTAGCATCCTGAATTCCGAATCCTGTACCTGCCAGAGCCACCCTCGCAGATCCTCCGATTCCCTCGCGACTTCGCAGCAAAGCAATTTGCTGGCAGCCACGCGATTCAATTTTCGCCAAAATATTCGGCATAATAGTAAAGTTTTATGCGAGTTCCGCCGGCAGAACATCCGTTTCCGACTTGGAGAGGGGTTCCACCCTTCACTCCAGATTGACAATCAGCATGCGGTCTCATATCCGCTGGCAAGGCAAACAAAAACCGGCAAAACTTTCACTTATGCGAGTATTGCGAAACTATTGGGCTGCGCAACCCGTTGACACAAATCGCACTAAATCAAAAATTATACTTTGCACAAATACAGCGAAGGATGCCTCGCAGGAAGTCTCTACACCCTGTGGCCATAAATCTCATCTAGTCAAATATTGAATTACGCCGGATGAGGAAGGGATGCGAAGGGAAAGGGTTCTCTGGCGATTCGCAGATCCAATTTAGTGGGTCAGGAGGATGTGGCACATCCCCTTCTTCGCTGTATAGTGTGTGACATTTTTCCGGCCACTGCTTTGTTCTGTTTATTTAATAAAAATTGAAGTTATGAGTGCTCAAAGGGTCGTTTATGTGTCGATAATGAATAGTTATAGCCGCTTCAAGGGGATCTGAGTCGTAATGTTTTGTTTGGGTCGCTTATAATGCAATTTATGCATGTTTATATTCGAGTAGTAACGCTGTGTTTGGGGTGACAATGGGTTAAGGCATTTCCGTACTTATATTTCCATTTTATTGAAAAATAAACGCCCTTTTTATGTGAGTTCAAAATGCATTAATAAGCCTGTAAGTTATTCACTTTCAGGTAACTATAAAATGGGTAACAGCTCCCAGTTACAAACAACACCTACAAAAATACTGTGATATATGTCTTCAGTTTGCCTGCTTTAACAAAAGACCTCAAAGTAAACATGTATATATTATAAACTGCCAACATAACAAGAGCTAATTTTTGTACATTGTTTCCATTGATTAGTTCCTATTTAATTGTATTTGTGTTGATTCCATGCAGTAATACAGATGGCTCGAAGTAAATATGAACCTATGAATGATCTTGGCAACGCCGGTTTTGGGTTTTCCGTTGTTTTACCGGGGGTTCACTTTTCGATTCATCGACGAGCACCGGTGGTAAAATCCGCGGCGATAAGAACCCCACTGATGTCATGATCGCCGGGCCTGTTTCTACCAAGTCAAAATTATTCTATTTATTGAAGAGTCGTCTCGCTTAAGCCTCAGTATCAATTAAACTCTCAGCTCAACAACGTTACCTACGGATCATACCATTATCAAGATGAAATACTTCAAGCTCTGCTGGATTTTTGTTATTGTGCTGCTGTTCTTCTGCTCGGAATATGCTCATGCGGCTCCCAAAAGAAAAGGTGGCTTTAGGCTTCCAAAGATTCACGTACCAAAGATCAACATCAACATTCATCATAATAGTAAGTATAGAATTGGTGCTCTATAGAGATAATTTTGCTGTAACTAAAAAGTATTTTTTGTTTCTTTCTATTTGCAGACATCCATATCGGTTAAAAGTGGATTTTATTTTGCTTTAGTTGTATAGCTTAAATTAAACTTATTAGAATAGCCATTATATGGCCTCTAGATGCAATACTCTTATTTATTGAAATAAAGTTCAAGAATTTAGTTGTTAAATGTCTGCTTTCTGCGTAACAGAAAAAAAGATGGAATTCAAAGAGGTGTACATTGCAAATTTAGATTGTGATTTCTTTTGTTTTAATTTTAAGTCAACTCGTCTACAAAGTTATTTTACTCCAAAGGATCAACCCTTCTCAACCTGATATTTAAATGCGAAACTTTAGCATAACTCACTGGATTTCCAATCTTGTTAACGATTCGGTATGCTAATTAAATTCTTGCCAATACAGGCAAGAAAAACAAATGGTCGAAAAGGCCGCCGGAGAATTTCCCACTTTCACTCGTCCGAGATAAGAAAAAATCTGGAAGGAAATTAACACCCGACCCGTAAAATGTTTCCCAACAATTTGGATCTCATCCTGTTCGCAAGGACCAACTTTTGGTTGTGAATTTATGGGCATTCTGGTGTGGAGACGGGGATGCAGTTGCTCTTATCTGGCTAAAATATTAACGGTTTAGGCTTAATTACAAATGGCGACGATGCCCGGGGATTCCAAATTAACTGCGAGCGACGAGGTCCTTGAATTTTCCGGGCGGTAAGGACACTTCGAAGATGGGGCGGCAGCCATTAGGGTAATTATTTACAACAATTTCAAATTTTACACATGAACAAGCCGAAAAGCACAATAAAAACGGCGCCACAAAATGTTTTGCATGCACTTTCGTGTTTCGGGCTCCTGTTTGTTTCAGTTCGGCTTTTGGCTTTGTTTTTCAAGTGCTGTGGGCTCATAAATTACGAAAGTGCGGGCTGTAAATCACAGGATCACCCCTTTGTATTTTCGCTTTGCTGCCGGCGAATTGTCCATGTAAATTTTGAAATTTCCAACAATTTGCAACACTCTCTTTTTTTGGCGAACACGTGACCAGAAATAAATGACAGGGCAGGGGGTAGTGTGAACAAAACAAAACCCTTTGAGGGCTGCGCATAAATTTCAATTAAAATTGAAAAGCCATGAAAAATAAAATCGGCCCACAGGCAGCCAAGTGATAACCATGAAAAGTTTCGTGGGCTTGGCGGGAGGCGTTTTTAATTGTGGAAGCAGCAGGTGCAGGCATGCATGAAAGTGGTCCAGGAAATCGGGGGACAGAAGCCCCAGTTTCCAATTAAAACTCGAAAATATTTCCAATAATTGCCGAATAAGTGAAACTTTGTCAAGCAGCCCCAGAGGGCTGGACCAAAGGATCAACATGCCTCCGAGGAATTTCAGTGAAGTGAATATTGAAATTCGAAAGGAATCTTTTCTATAATATCAGCAAGTTAATGGACAATCACACAATCACACTTGCAACGTTTTTACCAATTGAGAAAAATGGTTAATCTAAAAGGCTAAAGACTAATCTCAAACAAACAGGAGACAGTGGCTACTCAGTGACATATTTCACACTTCAGTAGATCGCAGTGGACCAGAGGACATCCATCATCCTCTCAACCAGGACCCACTTCCGATACCCATCTGCAATCAGCTTTATTTCAGCACCAATGTCAAAACTATAAGCTGACACTAAACCATTGCGGCACTTCAGCAGCTAACGGTAAACAGCGAGTAGGAAACATCAAATGTAAGCCCCAACCCCTGAAGAGCAAAGACAAAGAGGGTTACTGGTCACCCCTGTCCTGTTTGAAATTGCTCTTTAACTTGCAACAGCGAGCGGTTAACAAGCGACGCGTGCCACATCCTGTTTTCACACGCAACCAAACTCAAGTACAGTTGCCGCATACGGACCATAGCTTTCTGGGGGCGGGACTGTACTCGTGTCATCGCTACATAACCTCACAATGAGCCGTGACATAATTCACTTCCTGCCGCATCATCAGCAAGGGACATCCCCCATAACTCAGTTTAAAGTCGCATAACTCTCGAATTAAAGTGACCATGCGACAATTTTCAATTTCCACATTGTCCATAAATCAAATTGCGTTTACAATGAGTTAGCCAGAGGGCATCGGCTGAGGAAATTCGGGGTGGGGTTACGCACATGGGTGAGGGTTCAAAGCGTCAGCACTAGTACCTTTTGATGGGTTTATTGAAAAATGTCCCGAATTTGTTGTGTTGTACCCTGCTTGAAAGGGAATAATAGTTTTGGGTTGATGCTGCATCACAATAATGGAAAAGTCATTACAGAAAACAAATAAATATATGGAATTTCGTTTCTGGCTTATTGAAAATCGCATGTGTGACAGTGCACATTTGAAAGCATTTCCAATTTTGAAGGGTATTTAAAGCATCTAAATATCCTCGATATTTTCCACTTCTCCTCCCCCTTTGTTTTGCTTGTTTTTAGGTTTTTTGTTCCTTGTTTTTGGGTGGTTCCGTGTTGACACACCAGAGATAAGCAGGCAGAGGAGGTCCTGTGCCACATGTGACAGTTATGAGCATCTGCAATCCAATTTAATCAGAGCTGCTGGCAAATGGTCTTCTTTTGGGGCAAAAACACAGCAAATAATCGCATTAGGGGCCCAAAGGAAAGAAAAACCTAGTGCGATGTGGCATGTGTCAAAATTTTCGCATCGATAAGAGAGATCTAAGAACCACACGCACATGTGTGGGCCAATTTGAAACATGATTAGCAGGGAGTTGAGTGGTAAGTTTTGAAATTCAATTTTTAAATTGGCCCAGAAGTTTCCCTACTCCCTGAGTAACAACCCCCACACAAGGACTTTTAGGCTGGGCCATAAATCTGGGAGAAGTCTTAGCGTGTCAGCGACACTTTCCCCAAACAAGGTCCAACTTTATTTAAATGCCAGGAAGCAACAGGAAGGACCCGGCGAAGAATTCGGAGTTGGACTTGCTTAATGTCTACAAATTCCTTTCGGCAAATCCAATGCAAAGCCCACTGACTTTGATTTATCACGGCGGGGCGTGGTATTTTTAATTTACAAGCCCGTGGAGTTCCCCAAACCATTGCTAACCCTTTGAGACCGCCTGTCTGCATAATTATGTCCGTGTGCCCGCAAATTTATGGACCTGCCAACGTCTTACTCCCAAAAGTCCTGGACTTTCACTTTGTCAAATGGGTTTCCTTGTAATTGGCTTCGGTTTTGTATTCTAGTTGGATGGGATTTTCTTGGCTTCTGGGTTAGACGATGGTCAAGTGGTCAGTCTGGTCTTGTGAAATGACTGATTTGTGGTGGGATTTTACACAAATTGGTATTTTCCTCAAATTCCTAATCAAATCCGAAATACTAATTAAAAAGTTCGGACTTTGGTTATTTTTAACACATTCCTACAAATTGAGGTTTTATCTTACATTATTTTTACCACTTGTCAAGAACTTACTCCTACTCCCACGGAAAACCACAAATGATGACTGCATCAAGCGAGTTTGAGTCGAGGGAATGGGGATGACAACAGCATGACAATCCTTGAGAGCAATTCCTGTAAAATTCTATGACTTCGTAACTAATTAGCGCAGCCCATAAAAACAATGAAGGCACCGCAGAGGAAAGCGGGAAAGTCACCCTCTGGAAAAAGCCATCCTCACCACTTTCCTAATGAAGTTTGACGTGCTGATGTGCGGTGACGTTGACGAGGATTTCCAGGGTGAAGGGAACTCGCAGTCAACAAGTGAAAGTCAACCCGCGGTGGAATCCAATGATGGTGCTCCTTACGGCGATGATGATTTGAACCCTGACGGAGGACCTTGTTAAGGGGCCATAAAATGCATTAAAATTAAAAACGTGTTAAAATGCTCAAGAATAACTCGCGCAATCTTTTTAATGAGCTCTTAATGAGGCAGCCGGACCAAATCAAGAAGCAAAAAACCCAAAAACTGCGCTGAACCAAAAATAATTTGCGTCTCATTTGTTCTGTTGCGCGACTTAAAAAATCGTAAATTATAAACAAATTTTTAATGAAAAAAACTTCATTCCAGCATATGCTTCAGATCGCCGCCCCCTTTTTCGAACCCCGGATTCTGGTTCGGATTCGGATCCGTATCTGTGTGTGACTTTTGTTGCTGCTCATAAATTATGTAAATTTCCATTCGAAATTCAAAATTAAAAAAAGTATAGAAAAACGAAATGGTGAATAAAAACGCTGTCCTGCTGGCTGTAATAAGGGTGAAAGGTCACAAAAAACAGGGGGCGATGGGCGTGGCGAGTAAACATCATAAAAGTGAGAAATATGCCTCTTATTTTGTATTTTGTAATTTGTTTTGTAATTTTGGGCCTTTTGTTCTGAAATATGAGGAAAAAATTGCCACATTTACCCAAAAACAAATGGGAACGAGGAAATGCGACGCCGGCTAAATGGATTTTTCATCCGATTTTTATACCCTCACCTCCGGCCGTGGGAATCCCCATTTTCTGGGTTTAACCCACACTAAATCTCCGACTTTGGTTCCTTATTTTCCTTGATCCTCAACTGAACAAATTGGACGAGACGTCCTGCAAGTTTCCAGCGAGGGAGAAGATGCATAGATACGTAGATACTTTTTGCTATCACATAAATTAAGGAGGCATTCGAGGATGGACTGGGAGTCAGACATATGCAAAGGCGTGACTGCAGAGACTCAGGTGAAATTTATTGGAGGAAAGAATCCAGCACGAACGAGGTACACTAGTCTGCAGGGATAAGAATTTTCTATAAATATTTTTTTAAAAGTTGCTCACTTCTTTGTATATCCCTTAAGGTTTCTATTTGCAGTAGTTGCTATAAAATAATGTTGAAAATTGTTCAAAAGAACAAGTCCTCCCAAGTCTTTGTAGTCCAGTGTAATTAGTTGACGGCTGCTGTAGAAAGTCGACTGCAAGTTCTTTTGTGGCTGCGCTTAATTTTTAATGCCGCGCCGAAAAATTTATTGGGCCGCCACAAATTTGAGTTAATCTGCGAGTTGCCGCCGGGCTTTACAGGGCCGGGACAGACTGTACTTCACTGCGGAAAAGGATGGCTGAACTTGGAGTGGGTTTTCAGTTTTATACGTGTACTCCACGAAAGGAGTTCGGAATAAATTTAAGGACGGGGTGAGGAATTGCGCTGCGACAGTCTCATTTAAAG